TACTGATACAAAGCACATTCAAGCAAAAAAAAGAGACATTGCAAACATCAGATAAAGTTGTCTATGGAGCAACTGGATCCAGCCCAATGTGTGACGTGAGCGGTAACGAACTTAGCGCCGCCGCGCGCCGCGGCATTTTATTTTCACTTTGTAATTACATTGTGGTCAACAATATTCTGTAAAAGTGATAATGTTCCATTAAATTTGCGTCATTTTACACCGTCCCGAGTAAAAGGTTGATAAGTAATCACGTTATGTGAACGATACCGAAAAGCTTTTAACCATAGAAATAGAGTAAGTTTGCAAATATTAATTACGTTATGAACATTTGTTGGCAAATTTTAGTAACGCGCTGTAGAAGTGAAGTAGATATCAGTCTAGGATTATTTATAACGCAAACAAACAAAACAAAGCAGAGTTTCAAAGAATAAATAGAAAAAGCATAGTTGACACTTCACTTGAAACATTTCTCACATCATCCACTGACGTTATCTATTGATATCTCCTCAAAATAATGATACAATAATGTACAATAGGTGGTACGACGTAAAATTAAAAAAAGAATATTTTAAAAAAACTTTATTTGTAAAACGTTTTACAACATGTCAATACAACTAACAAGTTTCCTTTCAAAGAAGTCACCGGTGAAAATATTGTTCAGTATATCTAGTCCATATATTTCTTAAATGTCTTTGGTTCAAAGTAAAATAGAGGTAATTTTCAAGGAGGTTCTTGGATGTTGTCAACTGTGTGTGCTCCAGGGTTTAAGGTTGATGAAGGAGAGGAAGCGCGTGGCGTGGATCCTGCTGCTGCTGGCGGTGCTGTTCGCGCTGTGCTGGCTGCCATACAACATCATGCAGCTGTTGTTGGACATCAACGCTGTCGACCCCAAACATCTCAGCATCTATCTACCTTACGCATTATTTATAGGTATTATATTTGTATAATTCAATTTACACCAATTTCTCTGGTACAATATCATTGCTGTTTCTAGCAATCTTTAATTCATGTCAATGAATTAATTTGAAAAATACGTAACATTATTGTCTGATGAGAATGAAATAGAACTGGAATTCAATTATTTAAACCTAAATAACCTCCTTTACTATTATTAATGGATTGTTTGTGGTTAGTAATGTAGTGTCATTCCAGTAAATGGTATTTTTTGTGGGGCTGATAAAATTATCCGACGATGACAAGCATTTAGATGTTTTTCTTTAATACAAGGCAATAGAGGCGCTGTTAACCTTTCAACGGTTGCGAAAAGGAATCCTATACATCCATTGTTGTGACATTTGTGTCGAAGTAGTTTAGTAATTGAAAAGGGTGCGTTTGGCTAAAAGGGAAAACGTCATATCATGTTTTGGCTCGCAAACTCAGCTAATGTAAAGGTATATTGAATGTCTTGTATTTTGATCTATATTTTCATTTTATTATTCAACCGTTTTCCTCAACAATATTGATGTTAACGGATTTAGTTTTTATTTACCATCTGTGCGTAACTTGCGGATATTTACTTTTATCATGAACAATTATTTCTTCTATTCTAAAGAACTATCCCACCTAGTTGTAAATTGTCTGATAACAATCCATCGTGTAGAATATGCGACGAAAATATCGGATTTTGTTTCCTTATCTGACAGTGACATCATTTTTAAGCTATCTGAACCTCTATCAGCCAGTCGGGGGACGGGCCCTTATACTTGTATTAAGTTTTCTGAATACGGTTAGTAATTTTTAACGGTAAATTAGTAACATTTATAATATTCTGATGTTAGACTGTAGATTTCGTATGGGTTTATTATCATACTTTTAATTGTGTTTGAAATTACTAACTCTTGAACGCTGGTTGTAAATTACAACAGTCCATTTACATTAAACCCTATTTTCTAAGTTAGAAGAGGTTTATAACTGTGTTACTGTAGGTCACGCGAACTCTGCTATCAACCCGATAGTGTACTGCCTGATGACGCGCAACTTCCAAAGGTCAGTGCGGAAACTTGTCTGCGGCCGCTCTGCCTGCAAACAGAACGATTTCACGGTAAGATATGGTAGGATACGGTAACTTTAACACGCAATATCCGTCACATTTACATGCTTATGTTATCAAACCAGAAGTTCCTTGTAAACTATGTTATGTAAATCAGATAAACACGAAATTATTACCTAGACTTGTAATAAATACTAGTTGTTTCATGCGGCTTCCTTGTAATAAATTAAACATAATGAGATACATAACTTTGTTATATATTGAATGTGTTACAAATTTATAAAAAGTATGGGAAATAATGTTTTCTATAACTTTAATTTGTTTTTCAGTGGCGATGTAACCAGAAGACGGAGCGGTCCTCCAGTGACTACGAGCTGTATCACGAACCTCACAAAAGATGTTACATACATGTAAGTTACCATTTGTTTTCTTAAGATTTTTGGCCTAATTCAAATAGAATAGACATAGAATATTTTAGAGATTAAACATTACATTATCTGTATTAGGCAAAAAATATAGTTACACAACACTGTTAAGTCAAGCAAAAGTGAGTAGTCTATGTATTCTTCCATATTATCCTCTACAGATATACCAAATTTCATCAAAATCCGTTCAGCCGTTTAGGCTACAAACTCTAACAAACATCCATTGCTATCAGAGCTAGTATATTGCATTATGTGTTAGATGAGGACGCTGCGCGTGCAGGGCGCGGGCGGTGTCGCTGGCGGCGGCGGCGGCGGGTGCGGTGCGGCGGGGGGCGGGGCGCGCTGCACGCAGCTGAGCCACGTGACGCGCTCCTCGCGCCGCACCGCGCCCGCGCCCGCGCACCTCCTCTCCGCAGACATGCTGCAGCGACACGGACACGCCGATCTCAAACGTTAAACTATCTCCATTGTAAATTATTTTTTAAATAAATATACTTTCACACTATATTGGTTGTCGTTTCTCATTTTGAAAACGCCAACTAGGATTCATTTAAAAAAAAAACTAGCTGTTTTTCTATGAGTATATTGCCAGTAACTTTACCTGTAACTAAGGTAAAATCTATTTAATGGTATTATTAATACGTGTGGGAATTATTTTATACTAGCTTTCGCCCGCGACTCCGTCCGCCTGGTATTGAAAAAAACTAAAGTGAATAGCCTGTGTTCTTACAGACTATCCTCTTTGTGTATGCCAAATTTCATCGAAATCCGTTTGGCCGTTTAGGCCTCAAACATCCATCTATCCATCTATCCATCAATCCATCCATCCATCTAAACTTTCACATTTATAATATTAGTATGATTTAAAATACTGACCTGATCTATTTTTGCAGCCAACATAGTTTCGTTTATATTAAAAATGCCGAGTCCTACCCTTGTCTTCCCACGCGATACATGTAGCGTATAGTTTGCTCAAATGTTCATTTGTTTTGTGTGATATAAACTTCTTATATGTCATCCTTTAGTACTCTTACAATATGTATTTTATATTATTTCAATATAATATAAATAAACTAAGTTTCATTAGTTCCTGTCGTTTTGCTCTTTAAACTATATAAAGCAGTGTCTAGAAAATCGTTTAGTAATTTCCAGGGAGCAGCAAGCGTAGGTGGGATAACGCCGTCGGCAGATAAACAGTAAGCCTTTGTCTCACTGGAATTGGAATGACGCCCACAAACAACTGTTCATTGCTCAGGTAAGAAGCGTTAATTCCTCTAACTGTTTTACCAAAAGTTTTACTTACTAGTTTGCACGTTTTAGTGTTTACGTCCTGTAGGTCTTTCGACCGAATAATTTATAGGTATTCGGTTCTAATAAGGTTTGAGGTTGTGCGCTCCAGTAACCAAGTTTAAGATTATTCGATTTACTCTTGTACTAACAAAAGGAATTTACACAGAAGTCGAACAGTATATCCAATACATTTGCCATTAAATAACTTACACGAACATATTTATTTCAATTGTTTTCTACTTATAAATCTGGTCTGATTATTATTCTTTGTTTCGGTGTTTGAGTTAATTCATACAATCATGTATGTTAAAGGCAAATGTTTATTCTGATCTAATATGTGTACAGTTATTAATAGAGGTCAGATTACGTCAACAGAGTCCGTCCGAGAGACACATCTCGTTGATTAAAGCTGTATATCAGTATAACTTAGAGCGCGCACACCTTTGACTATCGGACACTGTTTAGTCTGTTGATTCCTATGAGCTTACATGGATGTGCGCACACTACCCGATTTTAGTTGTACAACTAAACAGTTGAATGAGTTACATAACATTCGACAATCGCACAACAGTTCTGCGATATCTATAGCTACACTGATGAAGAAATGTTTGTATTTCAATTTTTTTGATTTTTGTATGTATTTGATTTACGCAAAAACTACTACGCCAATTTTAAAAATTCTTTCACCATTAAAAAGGTAATTTATCTGTGAGTAACATAGGATAAATTTTGTATTATTTTTCAATTCCACGCCTGCGAAGCCGTGAGCAACAGCCGCTAGCAACAGTAATAATAAGTTAATTGGTTCTGCGATAATTTAGTCCAAGGTGTGCACCCGCTCTTGTTTTCAACATGTGTAAATATCTACAATCTACGGCAACATTTCTAGTAAAGTTTAAGTCTGACATATGTGTCCTATGTGAATGGGATAGTACTTGTTAAATCTTCCCCAAAAAAACACAAAGAAAACGATTTGAGGATCGAGAAATGTTTGTTAGTTTCAAATATCGTAGGTATCAGTCACAAAACTTATTTTATTACGCCTCAATATTAATATTGTTCGTCAATAAATGCGATATATTGAAAACTCTGAATAAGCGCGTATTTATATTGTATATACTTGTATCGAGAGGATCTAGTTTGGGTTTCGTAGAGAATTAACAATCTTTATTACAATCTTATCAGATTTGTGTATTACATAAGAAAACATATACGTTGATATTTGTTGGTTATATAAAAGAGGTAATAACTAATAATAAAAAAACCTCTTTAAAGATTTCTTAGAAAGATATAATCTTTAAACGCGTATAACAAAGCGCATTCAATGACACGATTAGATATACAGATTTGCTGTAAAGGTCACCACGAGTAAGTCTGTGTCAAGTCGTATTCTTTGCATGTTTAGTTACTATAACAAAATTCACGTTAAAAATTGACTAAAAAGGGGTAAGCGTTAAAAAGATATGTCATTATTTGAGGTTCAAGCTTTTTATACAGAGGTAGAGATTAATGCTTTCTAAGCGTACTATATAATACTGAGTCCCTGTCGAAGAAGTTTCTATAGTTTTAGGTTAAATGCCATTTGCGAAAAAGAAGAAATCAAATTTTAAAGTAAGAAACTTTTTTCATTGTCTTTTTTCTGTAAATATTACGCAATACATGTTTCTTTGCTCGATTAAAAGTGATTTTTTTATTTAAAACCTAAACAGTCCCCATTTAACGAACGCAGTGCATCAAATTTCATTTTATGTGTTTTTCCCCTGTTGCTATATGCTTTATAAAGGAAAATGTACTTTAATACTAATGAAAGAGGGCATAAAATGACTTTTACATATTACACTTTAGACATAACAAAGAAATGTTTAATTTGATAATCCAAACAGTTGTAGGTTATAGAAGCACCCAGTGGAGTTGTGAACTCAATTAATTAAGTTATTGTAACCATCTCCTTTGTTTATTCATCTGTACCGTAAAGATAATTGCTTTATTGGCTAACATATTAAAAAAACAACTTTTAAAGACGTAGTGAATTGTAGTAGAGATGCATTTATAAGTCGAGGAGATATGCCTAGAGACACGAGCGATAAAAGGTTTTACTGCATTGTTTAAGTGCAGTTTTAGTACGTGCGCATCGTTGGGAAATCCTGAGTGTGTGTTAAACATTTCACTTTATTTTTAATAATTTTTATTATAAGAGTCATTGAGATTTAACATGTGTGTTTAGATAAGTATTTATCTGCCAAAATAAACTCTTATCGCCGTAATAATTATACATAATAAACGTAGTGAGAAAAAAACTCAATGCGACTTCGAATTTTCATATTCAATTATGATTTGCAGTACAAATGAATAGCTTTTAGAAATGTAGGTTGCGTTACTTATGATATAATTGTTTAACAAAAAAACTTCCTTCTATGTTCTATTATCTTGTATTAGCTTTTTCCCGCGACTCCGTCCGCGTGGTTTTTAAAAATCAAAATAGCCTATGTGTTCTCCCAGACTAACCTCTACATCTATGCCAAATTTCATGGAGATCCGTTCAGCAGATTAGGCTGGCTAACATCGTTTTAGTTTGAACATTCGTGAAAGATACAATGATTTTCAATAATGTTGCGACTGTTCTTATTTAAAAAGCATTCGACTGATGCAAGTACTATTTCTGTTTTGCTAAAAAGATATGTACACGTCATTCATGCGTTTGCTTTGGGAAACGTAACGATGACGTAATTCTTGCTTTTTTTAATAATGTTAAAAATGAAACATTAGCGTAGTAATTTTCTTACATACATTTAGCTTTTAATTTATCTTGAGTTTCCTGTACAGAATGTTATAATGTAATGTTGCGCCGTTTTTTAAAAGAGAATAAGAGACAGGAAAATACAAAAGAGACGTCCAAAATCCCACGCAACTTTTTATACTGACATTGATATTTGGTTATTAATTTCCAATAAAATTTAAATGATATCTTTAAAATTGAAACAGATTAAATATGTTAATTGTTATTTCATTATAATTAATGTCCACTGAACAAATAACTGCGAGAGAGATGTATTTGTATAATCAACTCTTTTGATTAATTAAATAAATCCTCGTTTTATTCGCAGGTAACGGTTACAACATTAATTTTAAAGAAATTATATCGCTTATGGAATTAAGTTCGAAATAGGCTTTGTAAATGACACGTTGATTGAAAATCGTTTCACCTATAGTAGACAGTGAGGATTATTAAGATTATTGTTGTTGTTACGTAATGAAAATAGTTTAAAAGTATATACTTGTATCGTCGAAGTGATACTATGTAAATCAAATTTAATTGAAGTAAAATATCTTATTTTCTTTTAGACAAAAATACATGTCAAGTAAATTAATTAAATCATAGGATTCTACGTAAATTGATGTCGTCATAAATGTAATAATATATTATTAATTAACCAAATGTTATATTTACACGTAAACAAGCAGTGGACAACAAATTAATTCGTTCTCATGAGCAATTAACTGTATATTGAAACGAAGCTTTAAAGTTTGATGAGCGGAAAATTAGAAAACTGGATACAAAGAGAATGCAGGAAATGAATAGTTGATATTTTTTGTACCAGTTAGGTAGCAACATTTTCAAGGAAGCAGTTTATTAAAAAAATATACATTCCTCGAATAATAGGTAGTTATGCTTACAGGTTATAGTTATTTACTTAATAAATAAGACAATTAAGGAAGGGTTTTTAAATTAATTTAATTCACCAGCATAGAAGATATATAGTGACGGGTCTATTGTATTCTTTACAAAGCGACAGGCTTTTCTCTGTCAGCCCAAGTGATTAAAAACAATTAATGGACTTTTTACAAACATTTTGGGTCTTTAAATACAAAAAACCCTACAAACTCAAACTCTTATTGTCCATAGAATTGAATTTATGTTCACATAAAGTACTGAATTTATAAGATTACTTCTATGGGTTTCATCCCTGAATTTACATAATTATTTTAACTTTCTATACGTAAATTAAAGTCAAATTAATTTTTGTATCAATTTGGTAAATGATAAAAATGTACCACGATAGCCATGAAATATCTTATTAATGTTATAAATGCGAAAGTTTAGATGGATGGTTGACTAGACGGATGGATGAATGTTTGTTAGTGTTTATAGCCTAAACGGCCTAACGGATTTTGATAAAATTTGGTATAGATGTGGAAATTAGTCTGGAAGAACACATAGGCTACTGACTTTTGTTTTTTTTTTAATTCCACGCGGACGGAGTTGCGGGCAAAAGCTAGTAAAAGTATATTTATCTCTTTAAGAATGTTGTCGATAATTATAACTTCATTCGTTAGGACAGATAAAATATAAAACTGATGGCTGATGGCCTAGTTTTAATCAATATGTATGTCACAGTGTGCTGTGTCAGCTAAAACATAAAATCGGTCAAGGCGAAGAAAAATATCGTTTTTTTGCTTTACTTTGTTATATTCTTTTAATAACCGTGTAGGATATAGGTAAAAAAAAAAGTAATCGATTTGTAATTTGGGTAAGTGGATGGAGCTTTGGTCAGCTTTTGTTACCTTTCAAAATCGAACAAACGCAAAATCATCTGGACTGATTTTAAAAATATACCCTATTGAGAGCTACACTGATAGTGTTATTTCAAAATCCACGCGGACGACATCGCGAGAAAACGCTAGTCAATACTAGATTTGTATTTTTGTATGAATTGAAATTGTTAACTCAAAAACCACTGGGCCAGTATTTATAATTCTTTTAGCATTAGAAAATTAATTTATCAATGAAGAACATGGGCTATGTTTATTTTATTATTTTCTAAAGTCCGAGGAACAGCTAGTGTTAAATACAGAACATTGCTTTGAATTGTATTGAAAAAAATGGCTTTGTTTAGCTAGAGTGTTAGTTATTGCGAAGACTGTGCCGTTCTAAACTTGTGCGAGACTGTATGAGAATGTTATAGACTGCAAATGTAATTTACGCACTTCCTGTTTTCAATAACGTGAAAACTGATTGAATCATCCTGACTTTGACGGATTAATTACAATTTGTATCGACGATTCTTTTTCGTCTGTTAAGTAGATAAATTGCTTTGTTGAGTTTCGAGCGGAAATGTAAAAGTCATTGGAAGAGATAAATTACTTAACAATTACGCACATAGAAGTCTGTAAACAAATGTTGACATATAGAATACCAAAAAAAATATAATTAAGTAAATAAAAAACCTATAAGAGAGTGAGAGTAGCCCCCGTAGTAGAGAAGGTAAGGGGTAAAAGGTGCATGGTATGAGCATGTTTTGAGGAGGGATGAATCGCATGTTACAAGGAGAACGTTAGTTAGAGGGTACATCGGTAGAGGTAGACCTAGAAAGAAGAAGAATGGATGGATTGCATGAAAGGTGACATGATCAAAAAGGGAGTGATGACTGAGATGAGGTATGATAGAGTTATGTGGAGGACAAAAACCTGTTGCGCCGAACCTACGGGAGTAGGATAAGGAGATGATGATGATGAAGTAAATGAAAAAACCCATAAGTACGTGTAATTTTATGCGTATGCATGCAAAGCAATAATTTCGATAACGACGAAGGTTTTCCTATGTCCGTCAGTAAATAACTTTATGTACCTTGTCATGTTTATTTGTTTTCCATATACCTGCACCTATATACGATAGTACATAGCTATGATAATAAGATTCTAGTTCCTTATCAATTATTCATTACATTACGTACATAGTTTTCATAGAATTTAACACTCGACATTTTCCAACGATGAATTTGTGTTTCCTGTTTTAAAATTTATGTCGTCAAAATAAATATTTGTATTAACTAGCTATTGCTCGCGACTTCGTCTACGCGAAATTAGAAATTGAAAAAAGAAATGGGGTAGATTACTCAGCGATAACGTAGCTCTTTAATATCGAAAGAATATTTGAAATCGGCCCAGTAGTTTTTAAGTTTCAATACATACAAAAATAACAATCTTTTCTCTATATTAGTATATTGACAATAATTATAACTTCCATTCTACTCTTTTTCCTTTGTGAAAAATGGTATCTTATTTTTTATTTGGTTCTACCCGAGCTGAGCTTGTATCTTATACAACCCTCTTTTAATCGGATTGTGAATATTTTTACATTAACAAAAGCGTATTAACCAAAACAAAAGAATCACGTGCCACGTATTTCAAAAGCAAACACAATTTTCTCTATTATAACGGTTTCATAAAAAAGTTTAATTTCATTTCGCAATAAAAATAACAATATTTTGCACCACTTTATATCATTCAGTGTTCATAGTTCATTTTATGACATTGCCATAAAAGTTTAAATAAATTTGAGTAACCATAAATGTGTTTCGAAATCAAAAATTTAAAAAAAATTCGCTCCACTATTTAAAAGAACAATGCTATCGTTCTAATGTTTTAGAGGTTTTATTACAGCAATAAAGTGTACATGAGTGAGTTCTTATATAATTTATGTTCAATGTTCAACAAGTCGTTCATGTGGAACTGCTGACAAAACAAAATGTATTTTTACTGGTCTAATTCCAAAACATTCATAGTAAGAACCGTTTCGTTATTTGTGATCCATATCTCTTGTGTAAAGAAAAGCAAACATGAATAAAGTAAGCTTATACCGAGCTTAATTATGCGGAGCTTTAAGTAGGCATACTGCGCTGTTATGAGAACTGTATACAAGGTGTAGAATGCTTGTTTTATCAACAGGAAATGGTGTCACCAATGATTTTTTTAATTAAGTAATTTACTATTAGATACCCATTACTAAATAAGAATTCAGTGTGTAAACTTAAATCTCGGAGTGATATTTTCTTTTCTGTTGAGTTGTTTGCCGTTGTTTTCTTTGTTGGATATTGTAAAGACTTCTTTAACCATGCCACGACTCTTCGGGGTGACTCTGTCAGTTTTATAATTACCGCAGCACGTGCAGACGAGATCCAGGATAAACCACACAATCTCTATAATGCTTATTATTGACCCTCCGAGACAGAGTCCGAACACGCCGCCTAGATTAGCTGAAAGTAAGGTAATGTTTATATCAATTACTTATTAACCTATACAAATATTTGTTTTGGTTTAGAACGGGCGCACACCTTTGACTAAACTATCGCACAGCAGTTGTGCGATTGTCGATTGTTTTGCAACGGATTCAACTGTTTAGTTGCACAACTAAAAATAGAGTAGTGTGCGCATCTTTATATAAGCCCATAGGAATTAAAGCGAAACTAAACAATTGTGCGATAGTTTAGTTTCAGGTGTGCGCCCGCTCTTATAGTGACTACTTCGATGTTTGCTTTGTTTCTGTTCTGTTCTTTTTTAGGTTTCAAGGCATGGATAAATAGGAATCACTGAAAAAATAACCAAAGCGATTAAAATTGGAATCACTAGATGTGTTGTATTTAAAAGTAATTAATTATTTATAAGAAATATTGTTTCTAGTTCATATAGTACGTACCCAACATCTGGTCCCACGTGTAGAGAACCTCTCGTCTGTACTTCATACAACTGTTGTCTTCGAAGTGAACGGTAACGCGACTGTTTGTTCGTGGAATCCTAGAAAGAACACTGAACTTAACACTCCGAACGGTCGATATTGGGTCAGTACACGTTTGCCATACGCGGACCAATGATTTAATTCACTACAAAGGCTCCTGTAATACCTTTTGTTTGTTGTTTGTATGATAAATGTATTGTACTCGTATGTTTCACGAAACGTTACCTAATTGTTCGGTCCCGTTTTAAATATTCGACTTCTGTCTCATACTCGATGTAATCGCAGTTCTGATGACAATCGTTACGAGAAACGACTTCACGTATATTGCCTTGCACAAATTCTGAAAGATAAAACATTAATTTCAAATAATCCAAACCTGATAGACGCCAACTATAGTTTTTAAATTTCAAATAAGGTACAGTAAATCATTACATTTTTTGGAGCATTACAAATCGTTTGTTAAAACTATTTCAAAGGGTCATACCCAAGGAATCGTAAACGCAGGTAAGACGACCCCAGGAGCAAGCAGGGAAATTGTCAACAGATAATACACTACCTGTAAAAATATTACATAAGCAACTTAATATAAAAAATACCGTAAAAACTAGCACACGTAAGATGTAATTTACCATCAAAGTCGAATGGTATACATTGACAATATTCGACAATTCTCTTCATGACTAAATTCATCATACAGTTTTGATAGGAAGTAGCTCCAGTTTTTGAATCCTAAAATAATTTACAAATTAAAAACACGCCTTTTAAACACAAGAATATCAATGAGCTTCCAGCTAGAGAAAAATATTTTATTACCGTGTCTAGAAAACACTTTCTATTAGAAAGGGAGAGTGCCTTAACATCTGCGGATGAATCCATTATCCAAACAGTGATGGTGGCATCGAAATACGCCCCTGTGGTAATTATTATAGAGTTGTCTAAAATTGTTATATTGTCGTCCTTGTCGAGGACATACAACTAGAAAAAAAACTTGGTTCATGTTTCAAAAACAGAATAAGGATATGGTTATTCGATTAGTAATTGGGACGTTTATTAAGATAAAGTTCTGAAAAAAAAAACTTACCGATGCGTAACCATCGCTTTTATTTCCGTTGCTATCGTATTTATCTGTATTCAATGTTATATCTAAGGCTTCAGTTATCTCCGTACCAGCTGCAAAGTTGGTTCCTTCTTCAGCGTGCAAACTAAATAATTAATATAAATATGAATAAAGAAATTTTCTATTTATAAACAGAATTCTCAATTTAATTTCAACTTACCTAAAATAAGTCAGATCAAATTTGCAACAATATCCAACATACGTGAGCACTATACGAAACATTTCCGTACAATTGACCAGCTTCGATCTCCAAATACATTTCTCTATCAATACTTCACACGGTTTCTTAAACTAAAAAGAAATAACTAGTTTTGTAAAAATCACAATATCTTTGCTAAGTATAAGATTATCGGTGTAGGTACCGACTAAATCCAGACCCCTTTGAATAATTGTTAGACTCTTAAGAGTGAGTCCAATTAAGATTTTTTGCTACCCGTCTCGCACTTAGTTAGCAGACAAGTTGTTTTGTCCGTAGAACGAGCTACGGTCTACGTAGAGCTATGCCAGGCTACGCCGTAATTTTGTGAACCCTTTGCTGTCTTAACATTATTTTGCTATTATTTTTTAATGAAATAGTTTTATTCAAAACCACTTACCATATCTAATAGATCAAGATACGTATAACCAAGACTTTCCAGAATTGAGTGCATTTTGTTTACATGAGGTTGTATTTCGTATTCTGTTAGTTTTATGTCCATTAGACTCCGGAAGAAATCATCAATTTGATCGTTTTGAAATCCTCGTAGAACCCTGTAATAAAGTTTATTATATGTAATAACTTGCTTACCAAGTAAACTAGTGTACGTGAGCTTAGTACTGACAATATTTTTTTGACACTGTTTGTGTTAGGTCCGTACACCATTTCCGTATCGCAAACGATGACCGCAGGGAAGGGGATCTTGCTCGTGGGATAGTGAGTTGTCTCTACCTGGCAGAGTAAAATCATGAAAATGTAAACATTATGTCGATTAAATTAAAACTTGTAAAAACGTATATAAATAATGGGAATAAATAGGAAAATTGATATATACTTACAACAGTGAAAGTAGGATCTATGATGAATTTGTTCCAAATCATATGGCCTAAGAAGCCACAAAGGCCGATGCTTGAAGCGATTGTTAACAACCAGAATAAATTGACCCACTTGTTAGCACTAACATAGAAGTAATGAAGGCCATGGATAGTACTGTGCTTTAGAAAATCTGATGTTTTCTTTAGCAATTTATATTTTAATGGTCTTTTTTTAGACATCATGTACCGATCTATTACTTTTAGATATATCTTGTTTACTATTAACCGACTACGTTTGTTTAGTATCAATTTAACACTCATAAAAGTAAATCGATTGTATACCAGACAGTATACTTAGAGGTTTTAATTGAAAACTTTCTTTCTTTGTTTAAAACCTATTATTATTACCTTGTTTAAAAGAGTTCTGTTAATTTAAAAACATCAATATACAACTTTAATAATAGCATTAATGTTAAAAATGTGTCATTGTTTTTTTCTACAATCAAATAGAAACCTAAGTACTCTTAGAATAAAGATTTTGTTTATAAAGCTATTGTAATTAAAATACCCATTAATTTCTTATTAATATTCATATCTCGTGTTATTTTTCTCATAACTTATGAATTAATTACAGGAATTATTAAGAAAACAGTCATTAACAACTTTTATCATTAAAAGGAAAGAAATACGAAACAATTCTCAAGACCATTACTGTTTTAGTTAATATTCTTATTAGGTACATTCTAAAAGTCGGATAATAAAGACTGTTTTAAACAACAAACTCATCCCAAAATGACTAAAAAAACAAAACATTATAAGAATATGTTGCTAGCATCTCTGCCGACAATTACAACTTTACACGGAACCAATCAGTTTTCAGTACTATCGGGCAGGAAGATAATTCTATGGCGGTTTCTGATGTTACTGAATATGATATTGACAATTGCCTTTGTACTGGTCATCAAAAATAGATACAATAACGACCAGATTTTAACACGGGTAAGAGAATGTTAATCCTTTGTTAACGTACGTAATCAAGATTTTGACTAAAATTACCATAAATGAATGTAAAAAAATCAATTAATATAATTATTTTTGCAAAAAGAATTAAACTATAACAAAGGTTCGTGTTCATTAAAAATAGCTTTATGTAATTAAATTTTAAACTTACTTCGACTTTTTTCAATTCAGATCAGCAACAAATGCCAACTGAACGAGACGCCATTCCCTGCTGTTAGTATTTGTAATTTCAACACGGTGTCATTGCGGGAAAGTCAGACCATCACTCGAATATTGTAAGTAAAAAAGAAACAAAATTATTCTTCAAACTCTATACACCAGATTTTAAATTAATCATGATTTAGTGTCTATCTGGAACTACGTATTGATTGTTTAGTGGTCTTTTTCTTATTTTTTCTACCTCCAATTAACTTTCTTTGATTGTCCTTTGTAAACTAATAAAATAACGAGATGCCAAGGAACTTATATTCCTGCGGGATTGTCAAAAGCAATTAATTTAATTAACCAATTTGTTTGGTGGAGCTTTGAAGTTTCAAACTCACAGATTTTGTAACGAGGCTTAAAATATGCAGAATTTATTCTGCGGTGGACTGCTGAAGAATGAGATCTTTGAGTAAGGGTCGCCATACACGAATTGCATTAGTCGGCGTATATTTTTAGCAGGAGACAGCTAAAATGCCTGATTAAAATGTGTAAACGACGACATCTAATCGTCTAACGCTGACCGACATGATTTTGTTATACATAATACACATTGTTTTGAACAGGCCGTGTATGGCCTAAACCTAAACCTAGTTAAAGACGTTACGGATAAACAAAATATCAGCCATCTTCATTAACATAATAATAATGAAATTGTAATTCTTCTTAGGAAAAATCACGGCGTTTTAGAATCGGATGTAATACTTTTCTTGTACAATCTGCATCATTTGCGGGATTATAGTTATTCAGCGCAGAATGTTAGCCATTTTACTGAAATAATGACAATTCTAAAGGATCACTATTTCACTGTAGAATCAATAATGGAAGAGGTAATATTTAAATTGAGATTTAAATAGAAGTTAAAAGGAAATTGTGTTTTAAAATCATTATAACACTTTTTAGGTTCGTCAAAAATGTGACAAGTTATTATTGCACTGCACCTTCAACAGGAAGGTTAAAAATTGTGTCGATATGTTCAGATTAATTAAAACACACGACGGGCATTGCTGTACATTTAACTACGCTGCTCTCAATGACGACAGTAAAGGGTAAACAGTCTCAATAAACTATAGAACTGAAAAACAAAAACATCAAATAACAAAGCTTCAAACAGTGATTTTGCAAAATGAAATCACTTTTGTTGTTCTTTTAAACCTCTTTAGGTATTTGGAGAGATTTTGCTTTCAAGGCAATTTAGCATTGATTTTAATTAATGCAATAAAAATGGTAATTCTGCGTTTCTATTGGAGTTTACAATTCTGTTGTTTCAAATAACTGGTATTATTGAAAACAAAAACTTTATACGTTTTAATAATTAGATTATTTTATATTTAGTTCTGTGTCAGCGAAAGACGAAGATATAGAATATTACGAAGACCCAAGTGGTGAGGATGCGACTACAAATCAACCAGTCGTGGTGACGTCAGAGTCGGGCAGGTATTAAAACTTTAGAGATTAAGAAACAAGATTATTTGGTCTATATAAATAGAAAAACTAAACATAGATATAAAAATAAATCATAAATTACAGAGGATCTGGTCTCAGTGTTATATTAAATGTGGAACCAGATGATTACCCAGATTGGTCCGGCGTACCGTACTACGGGGCGAAGGTAATACAAAAATTATTTAACCAAATTTTATACATACGATCGCTAATACAATTTGATAAATCTCTTTATTATCGAGGAAAATTCAAATGAAATTCTATTCCTCCGGGTACGATGGTTACGAGAAGCTTATGTTCGTTATTTTCTCTCTGAATTCGTTTATTTTAGATTTTGATCAGCGATCCTAACGATTATCCGGAGATCACAGTATCGTATAGATTTATAAGCCTCGAAGAGTCATTGGACTTGAAAATACAACCGTTGGTGTTTCAATGTGAGGAGGATATCCGCAATGTGTCTCCAGAGAAGCGCGCATGTTGGTTCCACGACGAAGTCCTTTTGCAATACACCGATAGATACAGTTATGAAACATGTTTAACGGAATGTAAAATGAAAACTTTTCTGAAATACTGTGGATGTGTTCCTTACAAGTATCCGATAAGTGAGTTGCATAGAATCTATTATTTACAGATGTATTAAAATTATTTAAGTATTTTCAAGTGGTGATAAAAGCAATTTGTTTTTATTGTTTTTGCTTAGACGATTTGGTTATTAATGCAGGAATTATGAAACTTATTCGATTTTATTGCTCAATGTAAATGTAACATTACAATCTGTATAAGAGCGGACAAACACCTTTGACTAAACCATCGCACAACTGTCGTACTATTGTAGATTGTTTCGCAGCCAATTCAACTATTTAGTTGCACAACTAAAAATCGAGTAGTGTGCGTACCTCCATATAAGCTTATAGGAATCAAAGCGAGACTAAACAGTTGTGCGATAGTTTAGTTTCTGGGGTGTTCATTTAAAGCATTATTACGTTTTCAGTCAAGTCAACGCCTATTTGCGAATATAAAAATTTGGAATGCCTAAAAAATGTCACCAGTAAGTATGCTTTAATTTCCATTAAAGCTAATACAATTTAATTTTACAGACTAAACAAATTCACATCAAATAAAATCTTAGCTGTCTTGTTTTGTAAGAAGAGTCGACAAAGTAATTCTATCTCTTAAAGCAGTAAAAGTTTCATCAAGTTCAAAAAGTTTATTGTGCATATTAGTTATTTATGTTGGATATTGTTTCCTGATCTTGTATGAACTAGGTTACATATCAGAGGATCAGAGAGCTTGTGACCCGGTGTGCTACATGGAATGCTGGGACAAGAGGTACAGAGTTACTAGTGACATCACACCATTCGTTCCAGATATGTTCCCGCCGAGTGTCATGTGAGTTAAAACACTTTAAAGTCTAATTTTTAAGATAAAATTAAAAATATATAAGCGTACCCTTTACTGTGTTTACTAATGGGGAAGAATAGTTAATAAAAAAAAAAAAACAAAATGATATTTTCATATATAAATCTATACATTTTTATGATTGCCTCCTTTTTGTTTTCTAATTTGAAGATTATCACTCAAAGGTAAGATGTACATAGCCTTATATTAAAATACGTTTGTAGATGCCTATTGCGATTTATAACCCCGGTATCAAATTTGAAACTTCAGATATTTGAGGTTAAATACAGTGGAAAAATTACTAATAGTGGATACTAAAGTATACAATTTCATAACGCATTTTCTATCATATTACATCTAATAAAATATACTATTCATAGATATAATGTTTTAAACGAAGCTAAGACATCCCGCTATTTTCAGAAACACGCACAACGTGAGCGAGCTGTCCGCTCTACAAGTTTACTACGCCAAGTCTACGTGCAACAGCTACAAGTTAATGCTCCTAATGGACTTCAATTACTTCATCGGTGAGCAATTTCGTCTTATTTTCCTGTTTCACAAACAAATCTGTAAGAAGCTAAGCATTATTATGGAGAGCACGATTTCGCCTTGACATTATTAGATTCCAATTTTGTAAGAATCGTGCAATTGCCTGTTCTAATTTAATTACAATTTTTTATATATTCCTTGTTTATTTCTGTAATTGAATTAAATAATCGACTCTGTTACTGATGTCTTTTAAGTAATCTTGAATTTACTTTAATTATTCCTGTCAATTACAATTAAGTTTAGGCGTTTTTACGCCTAAAGGTATTTGAAATTAAATTACTAAGACCAGATAATTTTCTTTACAGCGACTTATGGAGGAATATTTTCTTTGTGTTTCGGCGTTTCTCTTTTAACTATATGCGAATTGGTATACTTGTTGTTAGCTTTCTTATTTAAGTTATTGTTACAAAATTACAGGTTGATAAAATTATAAAACTAATACTTAGCTTGCATCAATTATCAATAAAGTGTGAATTTTAACTAAATGTGGATTTATTCTTTTGTCGGTTTTTAAAATTGTTTAATAAAAAATTGATAATTTTAATGTAATGGTTTACAGTTAAATTATTTATATTGGTTTATAAAAAATCATTAAAATACACTTGTACATATATACATTGCTTTTTGTGTTTAAATAAAGCGTCATCTATTTTATGTTCTTGAAACGTTTTCTATTTTTCGTTGAATGAAATCTGGTACTGTATCAGTTGAAGTTCAAACTTATGCTAACAGATGTCACTATAAATATCCCGCAACGGACTTGTCGTATTCGTAATAATCCGATAGGTTCTCTTTTTATGTTTGGTGTATTAAAATAAGGCAACTATAAATGTAATAGTTTACAGTTAAATTATTTAATTTGGTTTATAAAAAAATCATGAAAATAAACTTGTACCGATATCTGTTGCTTTTTATTTGTGTTTGAATAAAGCGCCATCTATTTTATATTCCTAAAACGTTTTCTATCTTTCGCTGAATTAAATCTGGCGAAGTTCATACCATGTGCCGATACATGTCAGTATAAAATATCCCTCACGGGCTTGTTGTATTCGTAATAATCCGATAGGTTCTCTTTTTACGTTTGGTGTAATAATAAAATAAGGCAATTTTACATAAAATACTTTTTAGTTCTGTTAATTAATTTAGTTAAAAAAAATAATTTCAATACATTTGTAATAATATTAGTAAACCCATTCGGCTTTTTATTATTTAAGTAAAACGCCATCTATATAATATTCTTGAAATGTTTTCTGTTTCGCTGAATTTAATCTGAAGTTTATGTCCGTTGAAGTTTATATTTATGCCAATAGATGTCAGTATAAAATATTTCGCATCTTGTAGTTTTCCTAGTAATATGATAGAATTCTCTTTTTGACCGACTTCTCGAAAGAAGGAGTTTCTATTTTTCTTTTTATTTATTTTTTATGTGTGTATGCATATGTACATGCATAACTCCGCTCCTAGTAGACTGATTTTTTATGCTTGATGTTATAAAATAAAGTGAAATCTGTCTACGTTTATTTTCTATTTTTTTTAGGTTTCTTTCATTTAGTATATTCCCAAACAGTTATAAGCTTACAGTTCAGTTCAGTTAAAATTGATGGAAATCAGTGCTTGTAGCGGGCTTTAAAAATAACATACTGATAATCCCAACTGCTTCTTATCATTCAAGACTGTAAACCAGGAAACATAAAAGTCTTGTTTAAGAATGATAAACCACTGATGCAAACGTGCGTATGACTCGGTCGGGCAATTCGTTCCGGAGTCGTGCATTAACAAGTCTGGTCGTGGGGGATAAATCACGCGGGGACGGATCACGTCGCACGTAGTAAGGGGCTGTGGGGGAGGGGGCTGCTGTATTAAAATTTCAAGCCGATCGACGAACCCTCAAATAACTTTAGCTGATTTATTTTCCAGCTGCTTGAATTTATATTATCTGTCTTCTTTGAATAAGAAGTGTTCATGTAAAATGTAGCAGGTTGCGATCTATCCAGGTGTTGAAAATTGAACTGTTTCTGTAAATAATTGAAGGTGTTGTCAATTGTTATGTTTTTGGCTAAACCTTTTGCACTGAGATAGTGATATTCAATGTAGTTCACATAAACAAGTTTACGTAAATAAATTAACATGTTTGCTATGTTTACTTTCAGAAAATGTTTTAACTTAATGTTAGTAAGTAATTCATATCAGTAGGCGATATTTTTAAAAATTATTTTATTAATTCGAGTCAAACTTGTGAATTTTTCATATAATAATTAAAAGATTCTCGCAGCAGAATATTTAAATAGCAGTTAAAGTAATAAAAAAACTTTAATATATCTTTCAATATAATTATAATAATTTTCAATTACTTTTTACTTTGAGATGTAAAAGTAATTCGAGACTTTCGTAAGGTTTGATTAATTTGAGATTTCTAACTCCGCGCACCAAAAGCGTTTGAATAATTAAATCAAAGACTATTCTGAAGAAAAAAATTGATAGCTATCTGAAGCCAATTCCAATATTGAACACGTGACGCGTTTACTCAATCAGTATCGAACGCCATTTTATTTGATACCATTTTTTGTCGTTCAGAATTCTTTTATGCTTATGCGTTTCACTCCTCTATAGAGAAGTAGGAATATAATGCCTTTTGTCTTATTTTGTCACGTACTTACGTCTGTATGATGACGTAAAAATAAAATGTAAGTTTACACTGACGTAGAATAGCGTTAGATGTTTAAAATTTAATATTTCTTTATAATACTCAAAGGATATATTCCTCCTTTTGTTAGAAGAACGTCATTTAAGATAAATAGAACTGAACTTGGTAGAAGGATTAAATTTTGATTTTTTGTCAAAATTTGTATCTTTATTAGAAGTTACAGGACTTTTATTTATCTCTAGAACTAATTCTCTCGATATTTCCTCCAGATGTGATACAAAATCGATATCTATATTTTCTTTGTGATGCACTTTACTGAATCATAGACGGCAGATATCCTTATGGATTTGACAGATCAATATGGCATTGTTTCTTAAGATGTTCAGAAATAGGTCAAGAAAATATTCTCTAAAGAAATAAATAGAAAACGCAAAGCCTTTGTCCGCTGACATCCATCGTGTGTGGGGTTGTAAACCTTTGAAACGGTCTTATGTGTTCAAGAAATTGCTACTGCGAATTTTAATACGAATAAGTATTAAAATATTAACAAATAATGAGCAACAATATTTTCTTTTAATTTCATTTAATTGTAAAAGAAGTGAATAATGTGCATTGTTATCTGAGGCCTACCGGTGCTTTGTTTCATGTGGTTAGTAGATGTAACCGAATTCCAATTACAGCGCAGTGCTCGAGTGCTCCGGCAGAGGGCGCGGCATTCCTCCTACGGCTTGTTGACGTCACATAGGTAGACCGCATTCTCTATGTTATTCTCTACATTATTTTTGCAACACTATATCCCCTGTTAATGTTAAAAAAGCTCAAATAAAGAGAAACGTGTTTTACTTTTCTGGCAAAATTAATGTTTCCCGTAAATCGGACACTGAAGATAAGATTTATTATTTCTTTATGAAATCACATAAAATATCTAGTCAGTTTATTTTACCTGCAAAAACAAACATTTGTGAATTTTATAATCGTTGTAAGTGGCACTTAAGGGCGAGGAAATAGACTGAGCATAAAAATAAAAAAGATAAGCAAGAAAGCCGCTATCTGCAAACAGAGAACATTATTAGAGAACATAAATGCCGCGTAATAAACATGTACTAGATTTTTATGCCTTCGCAATAAAAGTCTGGCTTCTTCGTCGCTGGAGGGAGGAAGTTATCCTATAAAGACACGAGTTCTGTACAAACTTTTTGTATGACACTTGAAAAAAACATTTTTAGGGTTCTATGCATTTTTTAAAATCTGGCTGTTACAAAACTGTCAAATAATTTTATTGCTAAGTATCTGAAAATAAAAACGTCTCGAATGCAATCGACTGAGCTGGTTTCAAACATTCGAAATACGGGTCAGGTTCTGTGCAAAAGGAAGAAGAGTCGAGGGAGGGGGGAGAGGCTGTATTCATTCGGAATTTCAATGTCCTTTATCTGGTAGGAAGTGAGCCATAAACATCGTCATAAATTGTTGTTATTCGCGAAAGTGTCGCGCGTTTCGTTATTCTTTATTTTGAATTCCTGAATTCGCACTGCAATAGTCTGTGTGGCCGAACATTGTTATGAACGCTTTTACGGGGAATGTCATATGAAACAAGAGTTTTCATTACAAAATTTTTGTTCTTTACAATTGGGGTTAGTACTCCATTGAATTCAAATTAAATAAAAAATTACACCGTTCGTGTGTTTTTTGAAATTGACTTTTAATAGATCATCAATTCAGTCTTAAATTTGTCCTACAATTATAACTAGTGTATGTTTTCTGTAGGTGTGTTTCCCGAGCGTGCCTCCTTAAAGTTCCTTATTGAGATAAGAGCCGGCAGACTTCTCGCTGCGAGATGTGACACGCAAACATAAACACGTACTTACAACTGTACAGACAAACTTTGAATTGCACGGTTCCGGACTTGCGTTCATTTTGTTTTTGTGAATGAGATGATATTTAGCATATTACCTCTGTAATTAACACAAGCCTTTTAAAGCTAAAATGGCTAAAATAAATATTAATTAATTAACTAATATCTACAAACATTTAAACTGTACCCTTCTTAAGGAACACATTTGTAACTTAATGTGCTTATTGGAGTATGAATAGGGTATTCAAAATTGCAGGTATAAACATATCAATATAGTAGGGGGATATTTTTCCCGTAGGTTATCACGAGGCAACGTGACCCCATTCCGTGTGGGTTGCTTACGTCGAGAGTGCCCCCGCTCGCCTTGTAAATATATTGCACTGCGTGCATTTAAATGTGTACGTTAAACTTTTTAAACCGGAATGTTACAGTTGGATTCATACGACTGTTTATTTTTAAATTAAACTTCATTAACCGCATCG